TTGTTAAGTTTTTTCAAAAACTGTCGGAGAGGGAGGGGGTTGAATTGTATTGAAAAATTTAAACAGTGAATTTTTTAAGACTTGTAACTTTTAAACAGAAAGAAGAAAAAAATTGTCCTATATGTTTTCGAAAAGTTTTTCCTGCTCTTTCGAATGGTGCAAAAAAAATTTCAAAAAATTCAAATTTTGGCTCTTTTTGTAAATTAAACTTTTTTTCAATTTTTTTTAAAGTTCGGTTCTTTTTATTTTTTTATTTATTTTTTCTTTGAAAGCTAAAAATGTGTATTTTCGCCACAAAAAATAATGAGTTGTACTTTTTTGTTATTTTTGAGATATTAATTAATTAATGTTAATAAAAAATGAAATATTTCACAAATAAATAAAGTTATTGCAATCCTGAAGGTACCAATTGAAAGCTGACGTAATTTCGTATCCAACGAGCTCTATATGAACTATTTTGGATTAGAGGATTTTTTATAAACAATTGCCATGTTAGCCAATTGTTTATTAACAATCCACTAACCCAAAGTACTTCATATAGGGTTCGTTGGATGCGGAATTTTGTCAACATTCACTTAGTAACGTCAGACTTAGGGATAACTTTATTTGTTTATAAAATATATAAATTTTTATTAACATTAATTAATTATAATTAACTAATATCTCGAAAATAACATAAAAGGACATCTCAATATTTTTTGAGGTAAAAAAGCACATTTTTAACTTAAAAAAAACCCGAAATTAAAAAAAAGTCAAACATTTTTTATTTTCTTATGTAATATTTACAATTTTAAGTTAATTAATTATCTATAACGGTTAATAAAACAAGGAGGGGGTCCTTTATGTTTATTTCATAAACATTATGCTTCCTCATAGTGTGAAGCAAAAAATTCGCTTCCTCGTGAAGGAAGCAATGAATTTGTCCAATTCAATTGATTGATTTAAAAAATTTCGAGTTAAAAATGTTTTAAATTAATTAAATTTTTTGAAAAATAAAGAAAATTTTAATTAATTTTGAGTGTAACATAAACTTTATATATACGAATCGATTCGTTTTAATGCAAGGAATACAATTATTTTATTCGTCAACTTGAATTTTAAAAAAACACAAAATTTTTTAACTAAAATATGAATTTTCGATTTTTTAATTTTTATTAATTCTCAAATTTCAAATCAAATCTATACTATATATATACCAACCAATTCATTTCAATGCAGGGAATAAAATTATTTCATTTATAAACTTGAATTTAATCAAACACATCATTTTTTAGCTAAAATGAGAATTTTTGATTTTTTAACTTTCATTAATTCTTTAAATTTCAATCAAATCTATACTTTATATATATCAATCGATTCATCTTGACATAAAGAAGACGATTATATTATATATTACCTTAAATTTTTCGATTTAAAAATTTTTTCAATTAAAAAAAAATTTTTGGAAAAAAGACGATAAAATTTTTTTTTGGGGGTATTTTTAAAAATCCTCCCGTCATTTTTGAGAGATTAATGTGTTAAATAAGCCTACCAAATTTTACCCAAATCCATTAAAACCTGTTAAAGATATCGTGTTCACAAAAACTATCCACACACACATACACACACACACACATACACACACACATACATACATCCGGACAATTGATCAGGATCTCATATAACATGTTTCTATATAGAAGAAAATTTGTTTTCACCATTTTTAAAAATTTTATAAACGAAAGGACTACATAGCTTCCTCCACGAGGAAGCAAAATGATATATTTTATAAACAAATAAAGTTATCATCATTCTGATGTTACTAAATGAAAGTTGACATAATTCTGCATCCAACAAGTCCTATATGAAGTACTTTGGATTAGTGGATTGTTAATAAACAATTGACTAACATGGCAACTTTATTTATTTGTGAAATGTTTCATTTTGCTTCCTCGTGGAGGAAGCTATGTAGTCCTTTCGTTTATAAAATTTTTAAAAATGGTGAAAACAAATTTTCCTCTATATAGAAACATGTTATATGAGATCCTGATCAATTGTCCGGATGTATGTATGTGTGTGTGTGGATAGTTTTTGTGAACACGATATCTTTAACAGGTTTTAATGGATTTGGGTAAAATTTGGTAGGCTTATTTAACACATTAATCTCTCAAAAATGACGAGAGGATTTTTAAAAATACCCAAAAAAAAAATTTTATCGTCTTTTTTCCAAAATTTTTTTTTTAATTGAAAAAATTTTTAAATCGAAAAATTTAAGGTAATATATAATATAATCGTCTTCTTTATGTCAAGATGAATCGATTGATATATATAAAGTATAGATTTGATTGAAATTTAAAGAATTAATGAAAGTTAAAAAATCAAAAATTCTCATTTTAGCTAAAAAATGATGTGTATGATTAAATTCAAGTTTATAAATGAAATAATTTTATTCCTTGCATTGAAACAAATCAATTAGTATATAGAAAGTATACATTTGAATAAAATTAAAAAAATTAATGAAATTTAAGGAATAAAAAATTTACGTCTTAGCTAAAAAATTGTGTTTTTATTTAAATTCAAGTTTAAACATAAAATAATTGTATTCCTTGCATTGAAACGAATCGACTGGTATGTATAAAGTATACATTTGCGTTAAATTAAAACAATTAATGAAAGTTAAAAAATAAAAAATTTACATTTTAACAAAGAAATTTTGTGTTTATTTAAATTCATGTTCAAATATAAAATAATTGTATTCCTTTTTTTAAACTTTCATTAACTCTTTCAATTTAAATAATAATAATTTAAATATATATCATACATACCAATCGATTTATTATAATGCAAGGAATGCAATAATTTTATGTTTAAACTTGAATTTAAACAAACACAATTTTTTTATGTATATTAATTTCAGTGTTACTGCTTCCTCCATGAGGAAGCAAATTTTTTGCATCATATAATGAGGAAGCAAAATGTTCATGAAATGAACATAAAGGACACCCTACTTGTTTTATTAACATTAATTAATTAATTAATTAATATCTCGAAAGTATCAAAAAAGGACATCTTAATATTTTTTGTGGTGAAAATATACATTTTTAGCTTTCAAAGAAAAAATAAATAAAAAAAATAAAAAGAACCGAACTTTAAAAAAAATCGAAAAAAAGTTTAATTTTCAAAAAAAGGGTCAAAATTTAAATTTTTTTGCACCATTCGAAAGAGCAGAAAAACACTTTTCTAAAACATATAGGACAATTTTTTTTTCTTCTTTCTGTTTAAAAGTTACCACTCTTTAAAAATTCACTGTTTAAATTTTTCAAAAAAATTCAACCCCCTCCCTCTCCGATACAATACTTCGTGGTTAAATTACTTACCCCTAGGGCTAAAGTATGTGCAAGTTACAGCCCTATCCGATCAACTTTTTTTTCACTTAGTTCGCTACACGAATTTTACCCCGTATATAAAACCTATAATTATATCCGTAAAACGTGTCTCTTAAAGTGACGATTTGCTTTTTTTTTGCCCGACCAACTATATTTAATTGCGACGGAGTTTGAGAAAAGTTTAGAGCAAACGTTAGCAACGGTATTTTTCATGTCCCGTCCGCCAATAGATCCCAATGGTTCTATCTGGAAAATATTAAACAATTACAAAAAGAGTCTATAAATAATGTGGTTTTTTTATTAATTCTTTATTAATCAGCTTCTCTTTTTAAAAAAATGGAATTAAATCCTGAATCTTTAACTTAATAATAAAAATAATAATAATAATAATAATAATAATAAAATAATAAATAATAAGAATAATAATAACTAAATATCATAAAAGTTAAATTAAAATTTTTAATTTCATTTATCTATGAAAATTGTTTTTGCCATGCAAAATTTTTTATTTTGGTTTATTAATTTTAAAATTTATATTTACTAGTTTTATTCTGAGTGATTTGTGTTTCATCTGTTGGTCAGCTGATATTAGGTCCTTTATAGAAGCTATTGGCAATTGAGGACATTTGCTTGAATCGAAAAATGATCGTGAGGAATTGGTCACAATAGAGATATTATTTTCTTGTTGATTTTTCAAATCTCTTAATAATAAAATTATTTCATTCATCTTTTTCAAAGACAATTTTTTATAACACAATTCTGAAATACAGTGACAGATTAGATGCGTATTGTACTAATTAAAACATTCATATTTTATTTAAGGTCTGATTTTTCTTATTTTTAAATAAATAAATTTTTTTTAAAATAAAATAAAATTTTATTTTATAAAAAATTTGAATATTTTTTTTAATTTTCATTTTTCAAATAAATTTATTAATTAATAAAAAAAAGATTTAATTAAGAGTGAAAAGTTATGCATTGATTCAGTTAAAATTAAAACAATATAACATTAAAATGTTTAAGGCTGTTTTTAAAATATTTTTTAATTTTATTTAAATTACCAGATTTTTTATCTAAATAAGCAAATCTTGCCATGGAATTTTCGAGTTTTGATGAACTTATTTTTATTTGTGCTCTAGTTGAATCGTTATTTTCACTTCCAGGCGGTGGAGTATCTTTATCATTTTCTTTAAAAATAAAATAAATAAAAGTAATAGAAATAAAAAAATTTATTATTAAAAGATTATCTTTAGATTCGAAAAGACTGTAAATTAAGATATATGCAATGAGGTTAGTTAGTTGAAATAAGATAATTATTTGACTATAATAAAATTAATTTCTTTTAGTATTTATTAGTAATATTAATTCAGAATTAATGTAAAAATAAAATAAATGTTTAATATTATTTGAAAAGAAAAACGAATAGAATTAAGAGGAATTATAACAATTTTCATAGAATACAGTCAATAAGAATATTTTCAAACAGAATTAGAAGTGTGCAAAAAGCTCGAATGTCGAGCCGAAATTTTTTTGAGCCGAGTCGAGCCCGAGCTTGACTTGAGGTATCGATTACTCGAATTTTTCGAGCACTCGAGGTTTTCGATCAATTAATAATTTTAATAAATTTACCGTCGACTTTGTTACTCAGAGCAATCTCTAGTTTAACTCGATTTGCTGGTGGCAATGGAAGATCAATTTTCGTTTCCAGTGTTTTATACTCTATCATTGTTGACTTTTGTTTATTATCCGAAAACATTCCAGACGTACCAGCGATGGAATCATCCAGTTCGTTAAGAGCAGTACTTTGAGATTTATCAGACTCTAATATAAAATATAAATTTTTTAAGTAATTTGGAAACAGAAATGTAGATTTTTATAAATTTTATATTGTATAATTTAATGTCCGAACAAAAAATTAAAAGTTCTCGAATTTAATCCATACTTTTCTAAAATGTTGTTATTGTTGGTGAAAGTCTAAAAATCAATTATTATTGAATTTAATAAAATAGTTTTTGAATTACAACGTTTTTAATTTTTGACTTTTGAAAAAAAAAATTTTTTTCAATGTACAATATTTATAAGTAGAATGCATAAAAGTTAACATATATAATGATTTTTAAAGCTTTTTTGACGAGCTACACGCTGTTAATAAAATTTTTTTTTTTAAATAACATTTGACCTTGAAATTCAAGGTTAACATATATAATGATTTTTAAAGCTTTTTTGACGAGCTACACGCTGTTAATAAAAATTTTTTTTTTTAAATAACATTTGACCTTGAAATTCAAAATCGGATTTTTTAAAATTATTTTGAATTATCTCAATGGAAAGCTTGACTAATTTCCTACAAAACATGTAATTTTCAGAGTGGGATCTTTTAAAGTTTTTGAGATATTAATAAATAAATTAATTAATGTTTATAACAAATGAAATATTTTACAAACGAATAAAGTTACCGTAATTCTGAAGTTAGTAATTGAAAGTTAACGTAATTCCGCATCCAACGAGCCCTATATGAAGTATTTTGGATAAGTAGATTGTTAATAAACAATTAGTTAACATTGCAATTGTTTATTAACAATTTACTTATCCAAAATACTTCATATAGGGCTCGTTGGATGCGGAATTACGTTAACTTTGAATTACTAACTTCAGAATTACGGTAACTTTATTCGTTTGTAAAATATTTCATTTGTTATAAACATTAATTAATTAATTTATTAATATCTCAAAAACTTTAAAAGATCCCACTCTGAAAATTACATGTTTTGTAGGAAATTAGTCAAGCTTTCCATTGAGATAGTTAAAAATAATTTTAAAAAATCCGATTTTGAGATAAACGTAAATTAACATTTTGACCTTGAATTTCAAGGTCAAATGTTATTTAAAAAAAAAATTTTTATTAACAGCGTGTAGCTCGTCAAAAAAGCTTTAAAAATCATTATATATGTTAACTTTTATGCATTCTACTTATAAATATTGTACATTGAAAAAAATTTTTTTTTCAAAAGTCAAAAATTAAGAACGTTGTAATTCAAAAACTATTTTATTAAATTCAATAATAATTGATTTTTAGACTTTCACCAACAAAAACAACATTTTAGAAAAGTATGGATTAAATTCGAGAACTTTTAATTTTTTGTTCGGACATTTCAGGAATTTTGCCTCATATGTTTAACATAATTACTTTTGTATTCTCAATTAACAAAAACAATTATTTAAATATATAAACGTTAAAATTAATTTATATTTTACTATTACAATTTTTCTATAAAATATTCAATTGTTATTTTACATTATTTAATATATAATTTATTAAGTTAAATGAAATTAGGTATAACTTGTATTTTTCAAATTACCTTTTAAATTGTCAGTTTCTTGTGGCGAATATCTTTTAGCCCTTTCATGTCTTGATTTAAAAATTTTTTTTGAATAGTTTTATGTTAGGTCACTGTCAATTTCGGATAAAACAAGCGCCTCCAAAAGTTCTTCTTTTCTTCTATCCAAAGTGGCTAAATTGAAAATTTTTTGATAATTACAATAGAATATTTATGATCAACTGAATTTATACATTTAAAAATTTTTTTTATTTATAGTCTTTTTAAGCTTTTATTTAAAAATCTGATAAGGAAAACGGTTTATTTTCCTATTAATTTATATTAAATTATCATTGATTATTATTTATTAAATATTAAATAATTATAATCGATAATTAGTTATTCCATGTAGAAACATTTCCAGAAATTAACAGGAAAATTTCTGCCAGCGGTTTCCTTAATTTTTGTTATCTCTTACCAATTAATAACTTTTTTTTATTTATAAGGATGATTTTTAGAATAATTATTAAGTATTTACACTTACCTGTCCGTTTTAATTATTTTATGACTGAATATTGCTTCCACGTTATTTGCGGGTCCCTTAATTTGTCAACCATCTCATTAAGCTTTGTGGCCTCTTTAATTGGTGGATAATAACAGAAAAATGTATTATCATCGTGTGGACTTACAATCCATTTGCTCGGAACTAAAACCATTATATCTTTGAGTTGTACTACGGAGTATGGCAATGTTTCTGATGACATTTTTGGAGTTCAAATTTTTTGTATTAGAAATATAGAACAGGAGTAATAATTAAAATAAATAATTTTCTTAAAAGTCTACATTTTGCCTTCAATTTTCTCCATTGCGAAGAATTGTTTGCAATTTGACAGGCAATCTTCAATTTTTACAATTAAGTGAACATCAGTGCAATTTTAAACAAAGTAAACTTTTTCTGGTAACTAAGAAAAAATTGTTTACTTATGTTTTGTCAAAATGTGAAATTTTGTTTGTGGCGTTATCTAGTGCAAAAATTTTTAAATATATTTTATGATGGAATTTGAAAATATATGTGCACTCACAAGTGATGAAAATTCGATAAATAATTATTTAAACGATAAATGTCAAACTTTATGTTATTAATAAGTAAGTATAATTAAAATAAATTAATAAATATAAAATAAATTTCTGGTATGTTATTGGGATCATTTTGATGGGTACTACGAATTATAAACTATCGTTTTGTTACCGATACAAACTGTACTACCTATTTGATGCAAGTTGACAATAATCTAACTATTTGTTCCCGATAAGAAATGGTTTAAATACATTTTTTGCACAATTTAATTATTTATGTCAAATTATTTATAAATTTAAGTTCTTTCAAATTTTGCTATGCTTGATTCAATACAAGATTAATTTCTTTGAAGAAACTTGAAACAAAATTTGATCATTTTCAATTTATGAGATTTGTTCCAACGAAAAATGATCTATTTAAAAAAAACGAATAGCACGCTTACGCAATACAATCACGGTGAGATTTCAGGTTATTAATGATATTGACAATTTTTGATATTTATAAATATTTGCAAATATGATATGAAAATAATTTTTGTTATTACACTTTATGAAATTATAGAATTGTATTTAAAATAGAGTTCAATAATTTCAACTCTCAGAACAGTTACGACGATGAAAGTAAGTATATACAACAACAATTTATTAATTATTAATAATCCATTAGTTTCTGTCTGCAAAATTGTTAACCTATGAATAATTCTGTTTTTATTATTTTTAAAATTAAAATAAACGTTTAGGTTTGTTGATGATTTACCAGAAAATCAAGGCAATTTACCTGATGTTCGATTTTTAAATAAGAGAAAGAGACGAAGGGAATCAGCGTCTAGCTACAACGTTCGATTTTTTAAATTGCTTGGATTTGCTTAAAAATTGGTACTCGGGGGTTTCCGTGGTCGCTGATTACGAATCCTATGTTAGTTTTTTAAAATTCAAAATGGTGGATCCAATATGGCGTAAATTTTTTTAAAAATAGCTTAGATTTGCAGGTTTATAGGAAAACAACAACTAAAATTACCTGATAATAGAACAGAATAATAATATAATGTAGTAGTACCATATTGAAAATCCCCACATGGGAAACCACATGGGATCCTATGTAAAATCCCATTCCCATAGGGGAAACCACATGGGATCCCATATGGGATCCCATATGCTTTCCCATGTGGGGATTTTCGATAGGGCGAAAGAGGATTTGACATTGGAAAATTTGTCAAAAAAATGATGAAGGATTTCACATGGGAAATGACATGGGGTTTGACGTGGGAATTGATATGGGAAAATTTTTCGAAAAAATAATAAAAAATTTCACATGGGAAATGACATGAGAAATGACATAGGAAAATTTTTCGAAAAAATTATAAAAGATTTCACATGGGAAATGACATGGGAAAATTTTACGAAAAATGATAAAGGATTTCACATGGGAAATGACATAGGAAATTTCAATATAGATGTTGATCGTCATTATAGTTTCATTGTTTTGCCACCAGATGGTAAAAATATTTTCTCTTACAGTTGAGATCAGTCTGGAATACTATAAAAGCTGAGAGTCTAAGGCAGAAGTAAAGTAAACTTTTTTTTATTTTCAGATGAGTTGCATTATTATTATTTGATATTTAATCAAATAATTAATTTTTTTTGTAAACTGCCGCCTGCTTAAAGCAGCCAACTAAAAAATTCCCGAATAAAATCCTATATCGTTTCCTATATGTAAATCCATGTGAAATCTTAGGTTGAGATTTCAGAATCTATATGAAATCTTATATGATTTCTTATGCTTAAATCTATTTGTTTTATCATTTGGAAGAATGCACATGAAATCGTATTCCATTTCCCATATGGATTCCCATATGGTGTCCCATGTGGATTCCCATATGCTTTCCCATGTGGGTATTTTCGATAAGGCGAAAGAGGATTTGACATGGGAAAATTTTTCAAAAAAATGATAAAGGATTTCACATGGGAAATGATATGGGAAATGACATGGGAAAATTTTTTTAAAAAATGATAAAGGTTTTTACTTGGAAAATGACGTGGGGTTTGACATGGGAAAATTTTTCAAAAAAATGATAAAGGATCTCAATTAGTATTTAACATGGTATTTAACATGATATTTGACGTGGGATTTGACATAGGAAATGACATGGGAAATGAGGAACCTTTTTTTGATATTTTCCTATGCCAATTCCTGTCCCAATTTCCCATGAGGATTTATATGGGATCCCATGTGGTTTCCCCTATGGGAATGGGATTTTACATAGGATCCCATGTGGTTTCCCATGTGGGGATTTTCAATAGGGTATAATATATAAATATAGTTTTGAATTTTTTTCACTATTTTGGAGCAATCGATTTGAATTTGTAAAAACTGACTTTAGTTTCGTATTCAGTATATTTCAAAAAATCTTGAGTAGTGAATTTCTTTTGCTTAAATAAATTTTTTGAGAAACTCGTTCGTTATATTGGATTTGCCATTTTGAATTTTGAGAAACTAACATCATATTCGTAATCATCAACCCCCAAAACCCTTATACTGTGATTTTTGACAATAATAATCACTTATTAGAAAAGTTGACAGTTGTTTTGACAGCTGTAAATTGTCAAAATTTAAATCTGACATCATATTTGTAATCAGCCACCTTGCAAAACTTTATACTGTGATTTTTGTTAAAAATAATCCCATTTTAGAAAAGTTGACAGTTGTTTTAACAGCTGTCAATTGTTAAAATGTAAATCTGACATCATATTCGTAATCAGTGACCCTTAAAACTCTTATACTGTGATTTTTGTCAAAAATAATCATTTTCTAGAAAAGTTGACAGTTGTTTTGACAGCTGTCAATTGTCATAATGTAAATCTGACATCATATTCGTAATCAGCGACCACGAAAACCCCTATACTGTCACTTTTACCTAAAACAACAAATTGTCAATTCGACATCATATTCTTAATCAACGACCTCAAAAACCCTTAAAAACATGTGCCACTTATTGATAATTATTATTACTACTTGGGAAACGTAAGTTATTTTTTCCAAGTTTAGGGCGCCATCTATGATGCGCTATTTTGAATTTTTTAAAATTGGTACCAGATTTGTATTCAGTGGTTCAAAAACTTTCAGTTAACGTGTCCGCTAATTTTTTTTTGACATTGATTTGTGTACCCGAGGTAACTGGTTTTTTTACGATTTTTGCGATTTACATAAACTTTCGGTTATTTATTTATGTTAAAAAACTTTTTCATCGTTACTTGTATTTTTTCTCAATACTACAATCTCTACTGAAGAAAATGAGTGAAATCGCATTAAAATAAAAATTAAAACGACTAAAGAGTGGACAAGTCGAAGAACTTTTAGTCGACAATATTTTTTAAGTATCAAGGGCCAAAATATTGCTAAAAAGGGATCCAACAAAATTGGCAGTTGTGTATTAAAATTTATAGAAAACCGAAGTCAAAAAGGAGTTCAAGAAATTCAGCTACATTCTAACAATTGTGGGAGACAATATAAAGACAGATTCATCTTTGTCATGTACTTGTACGGTGCAGTTAAATTTCATGTTAAAATCATTCACCGATTTTTGGAAAAAGGCCACACTCAAAACGAAGGTGACAGTATGCATGCCCTAATTAAAAAGAGAAGTAAAAACCAACTCATTTTTGTTCCACAGGAGTGGGTCAATTTAATTGCAAACGCTAAAAATACGTCAAAACCGTACAATAATTATGAAGTTAAAACAGAAGACATTTTAAACTTCAAACCTTTAGTACAGGCTCAAAGTTGGGATAAGGATATCAATGAATAGAAAATATCCTGGACTCAAGTACGCGAAATCAGCTTCTCTCCTGAAAAACCTCACGCAGTCGAATTAAAATATAATTTCATGGATGAGCCTGTAATTTTGAATGTTAACAAAAAAAGAGGTCGTCCTGTAAATTTTCAAACTTACAAATGTCCTAAAGATTACACTGGTGGCATCCCGATAGAAAAGAAAAAGCTTAAAGATCTTTTAACGTTAGGCGCAAATGGAATGATTTCTACTAAATATCATAAATTTTACAATTCATTACGTTCGACTCCTGATCTTGTAAATTACTCAGAAACTGTGGAAGACGAAGGCGAGAGTGAAGAAACTGAAGAAGAATACTGAAGAATGCATTATATATTTATATTGATAATTTTTAAATTGTTTTAAGGTTATTTCAAGAATTTAAAAATGTTATTTTTCCAATACAAAATAAACTTTAAATTTGACATTGAAACACATTTATAATTAAGTATAATTTGTAAAATTTAATTTATATTTAAGTTTCTTTGTAATATTTATTAATTATATTTATTTATTATATTATTTATTGTTATTTTTTTATTTTAGTTGATTATTATTTTTTTAATGTTTCTAAAATGTCATTAAAAAAATTTGAATTCTAACATAACCATACAAATATATAGAAACTATATTTTTTTACATTTATATTGATGTGCACATGCTTTTTTTTATTTTTCACTTGAATTACAATGTAAGTTTTTACTTTTGTAAAATTCATTTGTGGTTATTTTTGCCAGCGGCAATAGTCCAACTATCAAGAAATTAGTTTACTCTCAGAAGTGCGTAGGCGATCGAATAAATTAGGCCAGGAATAAGAATAATCCACTTTATTAGTATTAGAATATAATTGGCATGGAGAACGCCATAACACCCCTCACACGTCACACACAACTCGTCTTCACAACTCAACGGCAAAGTCGTTTCTGACTAAAATCTACGATCAAGTAGGAATCTCGATTCGGAGAGTGCGGAGAGGAGAGCGAGGGGAAAACCTAAAGGCGAATCCCCACACACTCCCCCTCGAGTGTCAACGAATTAACTATTATTTATTTTTATTAAATTTTTCTTTGGTAAAATTCGTTCATTCATACTTACAATAATTTACAAACATTCTTCCGTACGTGCGAACCTCCATGTGTAATTCATCGTTATATTTGATTATTTTCCTGTATATAATTACAATGTCAGTCTTTTTTTTTTTTTTAAATA